GAGGAATCAAACGAGAGTCGACCGCATGCAAGACAAATGCCCTACCTGCTGTGCTATCACTCCAACCCAAATAGCAGTACTCCTACATTATTTAAAAAAAAAATTTTAATTAAAACATAAAGTAAAAAATAAAATAAATTTAAAAAATAACACAAAGAAAAAAAGAAAATAATGGAACTTGTAGACCAGATCAATGAGCAGTGTCTAGAAAGTTTTTAATAAGCAGGCATAGTTTCATGGAGGAAAATGAACCAAATTTCTGAGGCAAACAATAGGAGAAGGGAGAATCATGTCCATCCTGCGGAATTTGGTATGTGGGCAGGTGGATATGGCTATCAAAGAGATCCAAGTAGAAGTCGTGGATAATCTTCTCCATTGCCCTTCTGGAAGATGTGATAGATCCATCAGGATGTTGGAGGCCAGTCATCTTCGTCTTGTAATTGGCGAAGGACAGGTAGGCATTGCGCATACTTTTCCTGGCTTCTGCTGCATCAGCAAACACTGCTGCTCTTCTCTCTTTGAGGTCTTCCTTTATCACTTCTCTGCACAGCTTTTGGAGTTCGCACGTTAGCTTGTGATTGCCTGAGGCTTGTGCCAAACCACATTAGCGAATGAGCTCAAGAGTTTCCGAAGACAGGAGTCTGTTTGTGGCTTTCCACTTCCGGCGTTCTTCACACAGTCCTGGAGGTGCAGAACCAGTTGATCATATTCCTCGTCTATGTTATCAATGACGGTTCTTCTCCAGTGTTGAAATGGCATGATGTGATCAATTCCTTCTCATCTCAGTCAGACCAATGATGTCGTATTTGATCTTCTGCTCTTACCCATCAGGTCCTCCATGAATGCTTCTGATGCCAGCGTGTATGCGTTGATATTACAGTCATTTTAGTTATTCTTTGTTTTGGCAGCCTCGTTCGGCCCTGAGATTTCATCAGCCTCTCCTTGCTCATCCTTCTTAATGCTGCTGTGTTGGGGGCTCTTTCAGGGTCAGGGGAATGAGGCCTATTGTTTTTACTGTTTTTGGCACATCGAATACTTCATGGGTAGCTTGCCAGGCTCTGCCATGCAAGCAGGATATTCTTGGTAGCTTGCTGGGTAATCTGAGAGGGATGGAGGGTTTTAGGGTGGCCTCTAATCGCCCTTACAGGTGTTCCCATGGTTCACACCATATTTGATCCCCATCAAATATGTGTCTTATGATGTGTCAAGGTCCAGAAAGTGACCTGAAGTGTGGTGGCGGCTGGGTAGTAGAGGTAGTGGAGGTAGTGGAGGTCGGCTGATGAGGTATTTATTTGGCACCAGCAGGGTGAGGCTTCTGGGTGTGATACCTGGGTCGCCAGAGATTGGTGGAAGCAGGCAGAGGATCTCTGTTGCTGGGTCCTGTTGAGCCTGGAGTCCAAGGTCACAAAGTTCCGCTTACCTGGTTCTGTGGGTCTTCACTCATGTGTGAGGCTTGGCCCGAGTGTCCGGAAAATGGTCTGGAGCATGGCAGTGGCTGGGTAGTGGAGGCAGTGTTTTTTATGTTTTATGTTGCATATTCACATAAAAATAAAGTCATAAATGACATCTTTATCTTCTAACTTTTCCTAATTTAGTTTTTATTTTCATCAATATTAATTGAGGACTTCAATTTCTAAACGTGATGACATATAACGCTTGCAATTAACATCCAACATGAGAAATAGGTAAGACATCTGGGGTGGGATAGTTTTGGGGTCATACCTGCCAGTGTTCAGGGGTTACTTCTAACTCTATTCTCAGAGATGACTCCTGGTAGGGTTCAGAGGACATCTGGTACCAGGAATCAAACATGGGTTAGCCACATGCATGACAAACTGCCCTGTCTGCTGTAGTATCACTCCAGAGTGGAAAAAAAAATTTTAAGAGAGGAAGTTAATAGATAATATCAACCAACCCAACACAGCATATAAAAAACCTGAATACACGTATGATTTTATTTTAAAATTCTACAAAAGGTAAAACTGTTCTGGTGGGGTTTTTTTTCTAATAGTTGCATTGACCACAATTCAAAAATAGGAATTGATTGTAAAGGGACACAAAATTATTAATATCTATTAAATGGTATGCCGAAAATGAGTGAATTTTTGTAAGTAATAAATATATTAAATAAGTTATTTTAAAAGGTACTGAGGGGGCAGAGAGATAGCTGGCATGCATGCAGGATACAATTTAGGTTGTGAGTTTGATACCTGACATTCCTTGGTGCCGGAGCTCTGCCATGGTGACACTAGTGTTTCTTGGCTAAGCTGGTCCTATGTAGCACTTCCCATCACCAAACATGAGCACTGAACCATCTGGCCTGGACAGCTGGTCCGAGTTCACTGGGAGTGGCCTCAGGACCCTAAATACTATTTTGGAGGTCCTCGCCAGCAAAATTTTCAACCTTCCCTTTAATATGTGCCTGAACACAAACTAGAGGATTACAATAGATTCGGATAAGAGAAAGAAATATTCATGACAATTGGCTATCTTTCCAATTTTGTAAATGGAGATGAGCTCATCATGAATTTTTGTCAATATATTCCTGGTCATTCAAGGACGATGTTAAAGATGGAGGCTGTATTGTGGAAGTAGATTGGGACAGATGACTAGTGAACAGAGCAGAAGTGTACAACTCAGTTCTACAGTGGGCCATGGTACCACTGTGCCTGTAATTTTTCCCACTTTGAAATTTTTATATACCACTGCAAAATGATCCTTTCCTCTTATTATGGTAGTACAATAGTAAAGAAGATAACTTAAAGAAGATAAATTTAACTAACATCCTCACCGTGGCTTACAACTTCTGCCTCTATTCTTTGGAGTAATGAGGAAATTTTGACAGCACTAAGTTCCTTTTTCATACTGGGAGAGTGACTTATTTATGGAGGTAAGTGAACTCCAGCCCCAAATTAACTGTATGAAAACAAACATCCAATCTGAACGGACCATTCATCCTCCTTTGTGACCCAATAAGTGGAAAAGACAACCACAGCAAAACCCTATCAGAAAGAAGTAGGCCACCCAGTCTGTGAAGGGCGCTTTCTCACACTACCTTCTAAAGATCTATTCATGAGCCTCACTGCAGCTCATCAGAATATCATTGCTGCTTTCTCACCTTTCTGTTACCTATTCTACCATGTATTTGGAAGCATGCAAAAGAAAATAGAAAAGAAGAGCAAAAACTTTATTCTATATTAAAGTCTTTCTACTTAATAATCATTTAAATTCTCTAGATACAAGTGTAGTAAGGATTTTAAGAAGGTATATAAATATTGCATTGTGTAATCTGCATATTATATATGCAATATATATGTTGTCAATATATAATATGTATATCATATGTCATATATACATATATACATATGTTATGAATATATAGTACAATAAGTGCATATACTGTAGTAGACAATCTGTTTGCTATGCATGTTACCCACATTCTACAATGTATATATAAATATAGAAATTATAATATATGTACTTGTAACCTATATATACATATATCACATACATAAAGCACATATATACACTATTATGTGTATATATAAGTACATACATATATAAATATTAATATTATAATATAATATTGAATAATATATAAATAAATAGAAATATATATTCTCACACTTCAACACTGAATAAATTGTGGCTCTCTATAATAAAAAAAAACAGTTAATTTGCATAGTCCTTTAGGAAATAGCAAATTCTTCATCGTTTCACAGCACTGACTTGCCCTAATTTTAGACAAAAAAATATTTCAGTGATAAAATAAAGAGCTAAAATGTACTCTACACCTAAATTTTGAAAGTAATTAGTGTCCAGACATACATGTAAGTCCACTCAACTTGATTTCATCAAAAATATTCACTGCCTAAGCTATCAAAAGCTTATTGTTCTGTTCTACAATCCATGTTGCAGTCTTGTCCAGGAATTTTTTTTTTTGTCCAGGAATTAAATGCTGGGTGAAAATTCTGGATGAAATGCTGTGTGAAAATTTTCATTTTTATTCCTGAGACAGTGTGAACTCACTCTCTGAGCAAAAGGCATGTGTTCAAGTATGTTGTTAGAACCATACACTGAAAGTTAGAGATGATATATTACTCCAAAGAAATTCAGAGAAATTTCCCCTGAAACCATTAGCTTCTTTTCAGGTCAGGGGATATTAGAGATACTCTCCTTCCTTTCCCTGGAAATCTGTTTATTTTCCAAGTAAGGTTATTTCTCCCACTCTGCAGAAGGGAGATGATATGCTAGCCTCTTCTCATGAGTTCTTCTTTTATTTGAGGAAGTTGGGGGGGGGGGGGCGGGTAGTGAGAAGCAGGGAATGGCACACCAGCGGTGCTCAGAGTTTATTCTTTACTCTGTACTCAGAGATCACTCCTGGTGGACTCAAAAGCCCATTTGGGGTGCCAGAGAATCGAACTTAAGGCTGGTTTCATGCAAAGCAAGTACTCTACCCACCATACTATCAATCTAGCCCCTCTTCATGAATTCTGACTTCCTCCTAAAGCTAAATCCCAATGCATGTGCATCAGGTAACATCAGGTGTTTTGACCGGAGCTCTGAAAACCAGCCTTCAGATGTCTTTAGTAATTAACAGTCTTTGTTGTCATCCAGAGAGTTCATATTTCCTTTCCTAATATGAATATATATGTTCATGTGTTTACTATGCATATTTACATACACATAGTATGGAGCGGTAGCACAGCAGGTAGGGCATTTGCCTTACACACAGCCCACCGGGCTTCAATTCCTCTGTCCCTCTCAGAGAGCCTGACAAGCTACCAAGAGTATCTCGCCCGCATGGCAGAGCCTGGCAAGCTACCTGTGCATATTTGATATGCCAAAAAACAGTAACAACAAGTCTCACAATGGTGACGTTACTGGTGCCTGCTCGAGCAAATAGATGAACAACGGGAGTACAGTGCTATTTACACATAACAATATTTATATTATAAATATGTTCATATTAACACTAAGATGAAACACAATTTATTTACAGAATACCAAAGTGTGACACGAGCTTGAGGGTCTGTCATTGTGGCTGTCCGGGGCAGTGGGTTCTGCAGACAGCAGGCTGCAGTTCTATCTCTTGAATACTCCACCTGTGTGTACACCTTGGTGATGTCATGGTACCTGCCTTCAGGGGGCTGATAGTTGGTGACTGGCGGCGTGTAATCTGGCCCTTCCCTCTCAAAAGGGAAAAGACCAGGGTCCCTCTTGATGGCCTCCTCATAAAGCTCTGGAGCTGCAAGTTGCAGTTCAAGCAGAACTTTCTGCTGAGCCTCGAGCATGGACCTGATGGCATCTCTCTCCATCTTATGCTCTTGCTGCTTGTACAGGGACCATTTCTTCAGAAGCAAAGCTCTTCTCTCTTCCTCCTCAAAGGGGAGCTCCACCGGAGGCCGCTGTCTCTCTTTATCCAAGAACCTCACGAGTCACGGCAGGGAGTTGCCGTTGGGGTGTCGTACCCAAACCTTTTGGACTGGAGCTATAGCACAGTGGTAGGGCGTTTGCCTTGCACACAGCCAACATGGCCAACCCGAGTTCGATTCCTCCGCCCCTCTCTGAGAGCCCGGCAAGCTACCGAGAGTATCTCGCCCGCACGGCAGAGCCTGGCAAGCTCCCCGTGACGTATTCAATATGCCAAACACAGTAACAACAAAGTCTCCAATGGAGACGTTACTGGGCCCGCTCGAGCAAATTGATGATCAACGGGAGGGCCTTTACTTTACTTTACTAATACTAAGATGGTTTGTTAAACATGCTGTATTTTTTGTTGTAATTCAGTCTCCCTTAACATCCCTTTCACCTTTCCCCTACCATGTCAATTACATGTTAACAGTGCCATTTCATAGAGTTAAGTGTGAGCAATATTGTTCATGCAAGCTCAGCTTATATGTGTTTAAACTTATCATTGACTTTATGTACACCTTGTCCTTTGGTCAAGAATATTGACTTTAAATCGCTAGCACAAATGATTGCTCTGGAAGGAAACTATCTGGGGTTAGAGAAGTGGCCCACTTAAAGCCAATAAGGTATATAAGGAATTATGAAAACCTTCCTTCCTTTTAAGGATGCCATGCACTGGGGACATAGCTCACAGTTCTGTACTGCTTGCTTTCATGTCATATCTCCAGGTTTGATTCTGGCACTTCATGGTCCCCAGGGCTGGTGGGAGTGAGTGACTCCTGAACAAGTCAGAAGAAAGTCTTGAGCACCTCTGGATATGACAAAACAAAACAAAATCCCCAAAAAGGAAAGAAAAAGAAAGTCATAGACAAATGAAAAAATGCAAATCAAAATGACAATAAGGTAACCCAGAATCAATACCATGAAATAATACCATGAGACTAATATGTAGCACTGTCCTCCCGTTGTTCACTGATTTGCTCGAGCAGGCCCAGTATTGTCTCCATTGTGAGACCTGTTGTTTTTGTATTTGGCATATTGAATACGTCATGGATAGCTTGCCAGGATTTGCCATGCGCATGAGATATTCTCAGTAGCTTGCTGCGCTCTCCACGAGGGACAGAGAACTCGAACCTGGACCGGCCGGGCCCACTGCATGCAAGGCAAATGCCTTACCACGGTAGAGACTAATGTGAAAATGGAAAAATGAAATTTTGCCTTTTGCCACCCCATGGACAAAACAGGAAGGATTCAAAGTAAGCAAATTAAGTCAGGATAAAGGAAAAAGACAAATACAACTAGTCTCAGGCTTATGAAGAAGCAAATCAAGGGGTTAGATTCTGATCGCAGAACAGAGGTTTTCAAGAACAGGGGAGAAGGCTGGAAGGGTCCAGTGGACTGTGGTGGAGGAAAATCACCACTTTAATGGGTGTGAAGTGAACATTGCACCTCTAAAACATAGATAAAAATGTACAGTATTCTGTACCAAAGTTACTTCTATACAAAATAAAATGTTTGAGAAGGAAAATCGTAGAAATATGCCTCTCCATTCCCACTGCACATAAGCAAAAGGCATTTTGACAAAGGACTACATGTAGCAGATGTACTAAAATTAAAAGTAACTAGATTTTGACAGAAATGGAAACCATAAAAGGAAATTAAAGTAACCTGGAAATATGTTAATCCTTGTTGACTTACTTTTCCACTGAATCAACCAATTGTAAAGGTTGTCCTAATTCTGAACTTCCTATTTGTGAGCCAATTAATTTCCTTACACGCAGCCAACATGGCTGACCCGAGTTCGATTCCTCCACCCCTCTCGGAGAACCCGGCAAGCTACCGAGAGTATCTCGCCCACAGGGCAGAGCCTGGCAAGCTCCCCGTGACGTATGAGATATGCCAAACACAGTAACAACAAAGTCTCCAATGGAGACGTTACTGGGCCCGCTCGAGCAAATCGATGAACAACGGGAGGACAGTGACAGTGACAGTGACCCACTTGAATTTTTGTGTCTTGAAGTTTGGGTTTTGTATTACAGGCAACTGATTGCTTTCTTCTACATATTTGATAAAACATCCATGAAAATTAGTATCTAAGACCTCTTTTGCTAAAAATTTGTTTATGTTATAAATTTTACTGAAGTGTTAATCTCATATAAAAAAGAAAGTAATTATAAACTAAATAGACTGCATCACTGTATCACTGTCATACCATTGTTCATTGATTTACTCAAGCGGGCGCCAGTAGCATTTTCATTTGTCCCAGCTCTGAGATTTTAGCAGCCTCTTCTTATTCATCTTTTCCAACACTGCCGTATTGGAGGCTCTTTCAGAGTCAGGGGAATGAGACACATTTTTGTTCTTGTTTTGGCCATATAGCTAAATAAACTACAAAATAAAAAGTCAAAAGCAATTTGGTGGGGGGGACAGGTCACACCCAGCAATGCTCAGAGATTACTCCTAGTTCTGCACTCAGGAATTAATTCTGGCAGTGCTCAGATAAACTTTTGGAATACTGGGGATCAAACCTGGATCAGCTGCTGAAAAGCAAAAATCCCACCTGCTGTACTATTGCTGCGGCCCCCAAAGAAGCAAATTTATAAATAAAACATTCTAAGAAAAAGTAAATAAACAAAAAACTAAGTATATATAAATAAATAAGATATTGTGCTTCATGTATATATGCATCCACATATATGCATTTGCACAGAAACATTTTTTGAGAAAATATTCCTCAGAAGTAAAGTCTTTCTCTTCCTTAAGAAACTATTTTTATTTTACAGTAAAATTATATCTGATTTGTAATTATTTCTATCTTTTTAAATTTACTACCCTTGGCAGATAAAAGAAAAGAATCAAAATTCATGAACCATTAGTTTATAAATAGATTTTAAAGTAGGTCACAAGCAACAGGCTAAGAAGATTAAAGAACTTAAGATGCTGAACTTGCCATTGATTCAAAAAGTCCAAGTTCAAGTAGCTCTGAAAGTATTAATTATAATGAGAAGGAGAATAGAATTCTGGTGAATATACCAGGAAGAAAAAAATGTTTCATGAATGTGGCCTTGTGCTAGTGAGGGAAATTTTTGTCTCCAGGGTCTTTATTTTATAGGACATTTGGTCTGTGCTGAACAAGTACATAAAAAAGATAGAATATATTCAGAAAACTATACTGAGGATGATGAGTGTGCAAAGATCATATAAAACAACAAACATAGTGATTCGCATTTATGAATGTGTTCACCAGTGTCTACAGACCAATAGGAAATATTTTAGTGTTCTCTAAACAACATTCTTCTAGCTTCTTCTTATTTGTATATTTCTTCTAGGCTTCAAATTTCATGAAATTTAATGTGACTGTGTTTTATTTAAGACATAGTCACCCCAGGGACCGACAGAGCCAAGTTAAGGTGCTAACCTCGTATGCTGTGAACTCTGGTTCAATCCCTGGCACCTTCTATAAGCTTAGCCAAGAAAAAGTCCTGAGCATGGTCAGCTGTGTCCCACTTTCCCCTCAAATCAAAAGACAATAAAACAAAACAAAGCCCACCAAGATTAGTCCAGGACATTCTGATTGAGTAGACATACAGTCCAGGAACCTCATTGTAACATGCAACAATTTCTGATGCAAATGATTTGTGGCCTGTCTTGAAAAAAACTGCTCTCCAGGAAAGCTATGTATTTAGTGAAAACTTCTCACTTATCTGTTAAAAAAATAAAATAAAATAAGATTGAGAGATTAATACCCAAGAATAGCTGAGATCAGCACCAGGAGGATTACTCCATAGTTTAGTGAACAGTCGGGCATTCTAGAGGAAAGGGCAGCTCAGATAGACAAAGGAACACCAAATAAAGGGTGTTTGGAGGATCCTCCCAGGAGGGGAGATGCATGTCGAAAGTGGACTATGGACTGAACATTTTTGCCGCTCAATGCCTCTTTTGCAGACCACAACACCCAAAAGTAGAGAGAGAACACAGGGGATTGCCCTGCCACAGAGGCAGGGGGGGATGGAGGGATGGGGGTGGGGGGGATATTATCCATGGTGGTGGAAAATGGGCACTGGTGGAGGGATGGGTATCTGATCATTGTATAATCAAACCCAAGTACAAAAAATTGTAAATCTACAACTGTACCTCATGGTGTTTCACTAATAAAAAAAAATTTAAAAAAATAAAATAAAATAAAATAAGATTGAAAACTGTTGAATTAAAATAATTTTTTTCATGATTGCCTTTTCATGTTTGAAGTATTGCTATATAGAGAAAAGAATAGATTTTGTATTACTTTAAGAAACAAAAACAAGCTCTGAAAGATTATTTCTCAGCATAATACATCTCTGCTCAAGAACGAGAAAGTCCACTGCGTGTACTCTAGTGAAGCAGGCAGTTAGGGCTCTCACACTATTGGCACTCAACTTAGCAGGAACAGGGGCCAAAGGAATATGAATTCGTGCCTGATTTTTAAAGAAAACTGCTATACTAATAATAGTGGCATCTTCAATATGACACTACAAATGAATTAAAAGCAAATAATCTATTGACACATAATAATATAAGAACAAGAACATTTAATGGATAAAAACATAATTTTATTATTTTTTGTATTGTTATAAGTTAGTTAACAGTTCTGCTGATTCACCTGGATTCCTTTATTTGATTGCATTTCATTAGAAATCTGGTTGGAGTTGGACCTGGTCTTTTCTTGTGCTCTCATCCTCAAAATGCTAGGCCGAATTTTCTCACCAGATGGCAGCAAACTTCCAATAGGATTAGCTCCAATTCATTATTGCTAATCAAGTCTCCGCTTGTTTGACACTTGCAGATATTCCATTGGACAGAGAAAGTCACATGACAAACACAGACTGTAGAGGGACTTCATAAGGAACCTGCACTGAAAATGACATGTGTGGAACATCTTTGTGTTTATAGTCTCCCTTTCCCTCACAAGAACATTAAGAGAAATATCTCAAGATAAATGTGGTTGAAAACAGAATTAATATAAAGTTTTAATAAACTTTAGAAAAAGAGGAAGGAAGGAAGGAAGGAAGGAAGGAAGGAAGGAAGGAAGGAAGGAAGGAAAGGAGGGAGGGAGGGAGGGAGGGAGGGAGGGAGGGAGGGAGGGAGGGAGGGAGGGAAGTCAAGTAAAAAGAAACTTTGCAGGGGATACAGTAGTCCAGTATTAGACATAAGATGAATTTAGGAATGCTTACACAACAATGATATGGAAATGTGATTTTCCTCTTAAGGAATAACACACTAACCAGTGACATACCATTACCATATTCCTAATAAGCATCATATTGTTTGAGGTGATTCTCACATACATTTACTCACCATATTTACATAGACACTAATATACATCCTAGATCACTGAACAAAGAGAGAGAGAGAGAGAGAGAGAGAGAGAGAGAGAGAGAGAGAAAGCTATAAAAGCCAACCAAAAGAACAGTTTTCCAAACTGTACCATACTATACCCACGAGGACATAATGGAATATTAATATTTGGCACTAGGCCAACTTTAAAGCTTTCATCTTTTTTAATCTCCAAAGGTTTTTATTTTAAATTTAAGTAGCTTATGTGGTTTACCTTCAAGGTCAAACTGAAAAATCAGCAGTGATTTGGAAAAAGATCAGTTGTCATTCTGCTCAGTAAAACTTTTATATTGGCATCAAGTAAGCATTTAATCCTTATATTCCTAAAAGTATAAAATAAAAAAAAAGATAAAGGTGCCGAGTGACAGTATAATG